ATCCTTTCCTTTTAGGTAAGTTCATGTTTTGGGCCTATAGAAATTCTTTATTCATTCAGGAAAACTTTTGAAATTTTGTTACTGTGGTAGTGGAGGTGGGCATTGAACCCAGAGCTTTGTACATGCTAGGTAAATGCTCTACCACTGCTCTAGCTCAGCTTACTTACCCAGCTGGGAACATATGGGAAATACTCTTCTGAGAACTGAGCAGCAAACCATTCTTGTTGGAGCTTACTCAAGAAGGGTGGGCTACAAAAGAATAACTCAAATTTAGAAAGTCAAGGCGTGTTGAGTCCTATTGGGTAGTGTGCAAGGAAGGTAAGGGGCATAGGAGGTGTGGGTGCTACGTTTTTATGGGATGGTTAAGAAGATATTTCTGAGATGCAGACGTGCGAGCAGAGACAGATGAAATAGAATGGGCATTACCAGACATCTGGGTAGTGGGAATAGCATAATAGCATGAGCAGGTGCTCCAAGGTAGACCCAAGGAAGTCAGCATGGCGAGGGCACAGTCAGGAGAGTGGAGGTGCCCAGTGAGGCTCGGGGAGCCAGTGTGGTGGACTTTAATTTGTATTTCCTCCAAGTCATTTGAGAGTTTTGTTTGAGACAGGAAATAATGTAGCCAAGGCTGGCCTCAAACTTGCTGTATATCTGAGAGTGACCAGGACCATCTGATCCTCCCTACTGTGCCTCCCAAGACCAGAGATTATTGGCATAAACCAGCACACCCTGCCATTTGAGCCACATAATTTTGATCTCTCCCACCACGGGAACTTACTATTTCCTATTTCTTCCTCTACTCTATTAAAAGAGATTTCCTTGTTGAAAGCAGCCCAATGACTTCTTGCTGCCACCCAAGCAAATTCAAATTCCTTATCATGGTCTGAGGGCTATACATGATCTTGGCTGCCTCGTTCTGTGACCTCTCCCTTCATCCATGGCTCCAGTGACAGCGGACCACTTTCAGTCTTTTGAACACACTGAATTGGCTCATGTCTCTGGAATTTAATTTTTCTTCTAACAGGATATCACTCTGTAGCAAAGTTTGTCTTGAACTTGAAGTAGTCCCCTGCCATAGTCTCCAAAGTGGTGGAATTATAGGCACAAGTCACCATACCTACCTAACATAAGAATTAGAAGTGGAGCCAGCCTGAGCTATATAGCAAGATCCAGCCTCAAACACACAAAGAATTTGAGGGGGGTAGGATACATGCAAAATCTGTTATGAACTACCACAGTAGTTGCTGCTTCTATGTGCATCTTCCGGCCTCACTTTCCAGTTTCTAAAAGCAAACACCCTGCACTCTGAGTGAATATTTACTTGCACATCTCTATATAATTGCCTCTTGTTGGCAACTGATCATTTGTTTTTCTCCTGTGAAATATCGCTCTCCCTGGCCTCTAGCACTCTCCCCAACCCACATATTTCTTTTCCATTCCCCCAAAGTGGTTGAGCTAGAGCAGTTATCTGTATTATTAAGACACTCTTTTGAAGGCTACACTGTTTTATTTGCCCCTGTTTTCTATATACATGTTACTAATTAGTCCCCAAGCTTTACCCCTTTGGTTTAAATCGCATCTCAGTGCTAGAAAAGGCATTCTGCTGTCCTTCTGTCTCTGTCTCTCCTGGGCTCTCTTGCTTTCCCAGTTAGTATTACCTTCTTCCTAGTCCCTGTCCTTCTGCTATTTTCTCTCTCTCTCTTTCTGTCTTCCCTTCCCACTTTTCTTGAATTGGAATGCCAGGTTTCTGGATCCCTCCTCTTCTTGTTTGGTCTGTTTCTCTGTTGTCTTATTGCTCTAACATTTTAAGGATTTACTTATTCAGCAAACATTTATTGAGCTTGGGCCACACACAAGTGGAAATGTAGAAGCTGTGAGAATACCGAAGGAGGGAGGGGTAGGCAATGTCACTGCTTACTGGCCAGAGACCTCCTGCTCTATGACACCACAATGGTCTAAGTGACATCAGTTAGGAGTTATGGCCTCATTCCCAAAGATTGCTACTTGACATCAAGGTGAAGTTAAAAAGAGACTTCAGGACTTGGGGGTGCACTGGAGAAGCAGAGGAAGGTGGATCTCTGTGAGATTGAGGCCAATCTGATCTCTACAGAAAGTTTCAAGGCCAGTTGGGGGCTATAGGGAGACCCTATCTCAAAAAAGCTGAGAGAGAGAGAGAGCAAATCAATCAGGGCCTACCAAGTATAGGCTCTTGCTCTACTAATGAACTAATGAGCTATGTATGCCCTGTGTGTGCCAATAGTCTACTTTAACAGCATCCATTTATGTGTAAAAAGGGCACAAAGGGGAGGCTGCGTTCTGGAGTCTGTGATGACCTGCAGAGTGAGTATCCACTGGGACACTGCACAACCAGGCCATATAGAACTGTAGACTGTCACATGGCACAGATAGGGCTAGAAACTAAGGTTCTTTTCTCTTTTGAAAAATCATTTCACTTAAACGCATTTAACTTTGCAAGGTCTTGTTTTGTAGTCCCAGCTGACCTGTGTAGGCCAGTCTGACCTTGAACTTGCATCAGTACTCCTGCCTCTGTACCCCAAGAACAACTGGCTTTATGTTGGTTTTATTGTGTGGCTTATTCTTTTCTTTTAGGTATATTTATGTCTTGGACCTCTAGAAATCCTTTATTCATTCAGGAAAACTTTTGAAATTTTGTTACTGTGGTGGTAGAGGTGGGCATTGAACTCAGAGCCTTGCACATGCTAGGCAAGTGCTTAACCACTAAGCTACACCTCCAGCTGGCTTACTGAGCTGGAAACATATGGGAACTTCTCTTTAGGTGCTGAGAGTTGAGCAGCAACCCCAAAATATCATTCTCCCTTTGGAGCTTGCTCAGGTAGGGTGAGCAGCAAAAAGAATGAACAACTCAAATTTAGAAAAAGGTATGTTGAGACCTATTGGGTGGTGAACAAGGAAGGTAAGGGGCATAGGAGGTGTGGGTGCTGCTTTTATGGGATGGTTAAGAAGGTATTTCTGATATGAGGGCATGTGAGCAGAGACTTAGACATAGAAAATAATGGAAACTAAGCAGACATCTTAGTGGAGAAAATAGCATGAGCACAGGTCCTAAGGTGGAACCAAGGAAGTCAGCATGACCAGGGCAGGGTCAAGAGAGTGGAGAGTGGAGTGGAACTCAGGAGGCGATTGCTGGACTTTCTTTCCTACTCCGTTAACTCTCTCTCTCTCTCTCTCTCTCTCTTCCCTCTCCCCCCCCCCGTGTGTGTGTGTGTGTGTGTGTGTGTGTGTGTGTGCGTGTTTGAGACAGGGCTTTATGTAGCTCAGTGAGGTGAAGGTGTATGTGATGTGTGGAGGGGTGGCGTGGCATGGTGTGTATATGTGTGACAAGCCTGGAGGGGAACAGTGGTGTGGTGGGGGTCTGTGTGGGGTGAGTAGAGGTGGTGGTGGTGAAGTGAGGGTGTATGTGGGGTGTATGGAAGGGAGAGGGTGGGGTGGTGGGGATGTGGGAGTGTATGGAGGGG